TGTGTGTGTGTGTGTGTGTGTGTGTGTGTGTGTGTGTGTGTGTGTGTGTGTGTGTGTTGCCAGGGTTACTAATTAAGTGTTGACATGAGGAGGGATTAGGCTGACATTGACAAATGTGATACTAAGTGGTAAAGGTGTCTATGAATAAACCAGCCCATTCATACACACACATACACACAAACACCTACACACACAAAACCCCATGCACACACACTTTTGTACTGCTGCACATCATGACTTTAAGAGCGGAAACCAGTGTAAATGTAAGGATAATACTTATTACATGATTTGTAACTTACTGTACAGTGCTGTCTCACTCATACACGCTGAGAGGAAGAATGTTTGCAGACAGTTTTTGGCCCTTGAGGCAAGTGCTCTCATTGATTTCATGTAATCACCGTATTTCAGTCTCTGTTGCACTGTCACTGTAAAAATAGCAGTGCGTGAATCAAAAAAGTTGCAGGATAGTGAAGTTGTTATCTACGTTTAATTTGACACTTTAACTACACGAATGAATAGCTTTTGTGTAAGTGGAAATCTTTTTGCCATGTCAGTAGATATCTTTTTAAGTCAGGATAGCTGTGCCAATTTGGTACTGGTTAGTGTATTAGGAATGAAAGGATGCCACAATGTTTGATGGAAAATTTAAATGGGCAACATAAAGAGGATTGAATTCAAAGACACCCTGAAAATCAAAGTGGAAGGCTAGCCCATTCTGATGAAATTTCACTCATGCCTAATGACAGTCAGGGCGTTGCTGCCACGCCTATAGAGGTCTGTGTGTCTCTCCATGGATATGCCTCCCATCGCCATGCCTTACGATGTTACAGGCAGCATAACCTTCTCCAGAGCTTCTCCAGACCCTTTCACGTCTGTCACATGTGCTCAGGGTGAACCTACTCTCATCTGTGAAAAGCACAGGGAGGCAAAATCCAACCTGGCTCCATGGTGCAGTGGACATGAGCACAGGGCACACTAGAGGATGTTTGGGCCCTAAAGCCACCCTCATGAAATCTTTCTCTGATTGTTTGGTCAGGGATATTTACACAAGTGACCTGAAGGATCTAATTTTGTGGCTCTTGCTGTTCCTGAGTAGATACTGGTCCTGCTGATGGGTTAAGGAGCTTCTGGAGTCCTGTCCAAGAGTATCTGCTTGTCTCAAGGCATCTCCTCTATGCTCTTGAGACTGTGCTGAGAGACATAGCAAACCTGACAAAGGTATGTATTGATGTGCCATCCTAGGGGAGTTGGACACTGACCCTGGTCAAATACAGAGCTAGTGAAAAAACAGTCAGAAAAGATGGGCTGGAAAATGTCAGTGCCCTCCACCTGCCAAACTGTTCTTGTTTTGAGGTTGTTTCATTGTTGCCCCTCTAGTGCACCTGCTGTTCATTTCATTAACACCAAAGCAGTTAAAACCGAATACCAACCTCCTCTGCTACTAACTATTTAATTAATTTGACACTATACTCTGTGTTCCTTTACGTTTTTGTTTGCTTTATACTCACCTTGTCTTGTTTTACCGAAAGTGTAAAAAAGTTGACCAACTGCACTGTCATAGAGTAGCAACTAGTCACTCATGAGGTAGGCCTGCCTAAAACATAATCTATCATACTTTTTGACTCTACTGGGGACAATAATTTACTAAAATTCAGTTTGTATTTAATAAGAAGTGAAACTCCCGAGCAATAAACTTATCAAGTGTTTACTGGGATTGAATCTCAATCTGTATTTTTTTATTTTTTTATTTGCTCCTGATTAGAATGAATATGAGTTGATCCCTTTGGAAGCCAAGGGACAAATTTTGAGCATCAAAGCTGTGCTGAAGCTAATTGTGGAGCCACAGAATTTAGACACTACTTTGATAATATCGAATAAGTTTTATCAAGTATTCACAGAAGGTACTTTTAGCGGCTTGATCAAAAACAACTCTGTTGTGAAATATTTTGATATTTTAGTTCCAAATGTAATATTTGTGTCTACATCAGCCACATTTACTTCTTTCTTCTAGTCAAATTGAAGGTTTCTAGCCAGAAAGTGGCATTGGCAAAAACCTCCAAGCAGCTGCCACTTAGAAGATGGTCCTTTGATTTGTGGCACTCAGGCTCTTAAACTTCATGTCAGCTCCAGCTAAATGTAATTTTACACTCAACAAGCAGGATGGGTGTTTTTTGCAGATTGCTCATCTGCAGGTATATACTTTATGTTCCTCAGCAGTCAATCACTCTTTTCTCCCTTTGACTTACATTTGACTTTGATTTACTTCTTTATTTACTTACCCTGGCCATCTGCAGCCATTCAGACATAACAGATTACTTAATTACTTATTTTACTTTTCATACAAGTGATATGTGTTCTCCATATTTTGTCTTTCCCTTTGAGCCTGGTTCGTGACACCATCTGGAGTAATTTATCCTTGGTGGCATGGCTCCATTCTGAGGCCTGGCAGTTCACACCTCCCTGCTTTTTCATGTGCATACATGGAAAGCCAGAGGCGGCGAGAGCACCAGCAAGAGCCTGGCACAAAACAGAGCGGCAGTGACAATGGATATCAGGCTGGTTAAGATAGACACAGCAGAAAAGGAAGAGCAGGTGGGTTGAAAAGTGGCTTGCAGATGTGCAACAAATGTATACAGGATTTAAAAGCCTAAATAATTTGCATATATATGATTTGCTCAATAAATGAAATGTTTGTTTGCTAATAAAAGTTGCACTGAATGATTGGGCTTCCTTGAACATCTGTTAAGTTTTTATTTTTGAAGTACATGTGACATCAAGTAGAAATTGCAAACACTGGGAAATGTCCCCAAGAACAGTCACCAGTGACTTGCCATCAAAATGATTCAAGACTTGGGTGTAAAAAGAGACTTCTTTGAAGTCCAGGCCAAAAGTGTATCATATGAGACCACTCCTGACTGGCTTTGGCCACGTAACCTTATACTTGTGCCCATGTGC